GGAGTCTGAATCAACATAACATGTTGTCCTCTGATGGTTTGGATTAACAAACAGGTCATCGTCGTCATCATCATCGTCACCATCATCATCATCATTGGTGCCATTATTACTATGCATATGAACATTGCTACCAAGACAACAAAAAGAACATAGTTACATGTATGTAATATATTATTTATTATGAATGTTTCTCCTTAGTTTGATCGCATCTCAAGTCCTAATTACAGCAAAACATCGAATGGGATTATACCTGACCCTTGATATTTGCAGTGGTCTTTGGAAGTGTGATGTTGTAAGGTTCAAAGCAAAAACACTACAGTCACAGTCAGGTAAGGAACAACTTTTTACAAGGCTGAGCTAATTAAAATTGAGTTTAATATCAAAATTACTAATTTCTAGATTGTTAAGTCCAGAAATGACACAGTGAATCATCTCTCAACAAAGCTTACTGGGTGATTCCAGAAAATATCCACACCCTACCACGGGTGGCATCAATATTTCACGCCCCCCCCCCCCCCCCCCCTCGGAAATTCTCCACATGCCATTGGAATTCCAAGATGCCCCCTGTGGTATGGGTATGGATATTTCTGGAATTGCCAATAAATATTAACGATCTCATAATGTCAAAATTTCTTTAGTATCATGTGTCACGCCAGAAACCAGATTAAGGTGCCAGAGTTAAAAATATTCCAGAAATGATACAATAATCAATGATAACACACATCAAATTCTCTCTTCTGATTTTTCTTCATCAGGGGTTACGGCAGATGTATGCAGGCTTTCCATACATAATACATCATACATCATGTGGTTCCAAAAAATATCCATACTCCCCTCCCCTCACATACATTTTTTTTTTGGTTTGAAACCTCCCACCCCACCTCCCTGGAAATTCCAGTTAAGCTTCGTGTTTTCCTTTAAAAATTTTGGCTTTTGAGAGCCCCCCCTGACCCACCTCGGAATTTCCAAAGACCTTCCTTGGGGTGGTGTGGATATTTTCTGGAACAGTACTGCTACTCCAGTCTGACTAGTATAATATGGCTTGACTAAGAGTAAGAGCTAGCCTTAACTATTTATTTAAGATCTCTACCTGTTTACTTCTTTGGCATCTGGTTTTTCATCAGTCAATGTTTTCTCTGTGAATGCTGTAGGCCTTGAAATGAATTTATTAAAACAAAGTTTGGTAAAACTAGTATTAAGTTATCATAATTTATTATTGGTGATGTGTGCATAGACAAACATGATTCAAGAACACTGAAAAGTTTAAAGGAAGTAGTGGAGGGAATTCATGACTGAGTAGCAAAACGAAATGCCCCCACTCTCCCAATATTAACCCTACAGTACAGTTATGTAGTGCGCTTATTATACTCTAATCACCCTTGAAACGATTATAAAACATTTTGTAACTAATCTTAAAACAACAAAAGCACACAACATCAGGGGCGAGCATCTCGTTTATTGATGTCGATAGAGCGAACAATACAACAGCATTGAACCAAGGCATGGCAGGTCTGAAAAACCTAAGTACAGTCTAAACTTCTAGTAACAAAACAAAACTAAAATGAAGTAGACAGAGATGCCTTCAAATGGTTCTTGAATAACTTACAAACTCTTAAATACTCTTAATAATCCCAGAGGGTTACTCACGCCTTACATATACATGTACACGCCTAAAACACTTGTATACACATGCAGCACAATACTTTCTTGCACATACACTTATTACACTACTGTAATTAGCAAACCGTAACAAAATATATTTGTTTTGTAGAAGTTATAGCTATTGTTTTAAGCCCTGGCTAAACAATCAAACATTGTTCTTCACACAAAATTCTGGATGAACATGTTTGAACTATGAGTGACTAAACAATCAGACCTGTTTTTATAAAATAAACAAGATACTACATGCGCTCTGATTGGCTCAAAACCATTTACATAGAAAATTGCTTTGAGTGTTTCCATAGAGTTATGGTACATGTAACACAAGTGAAAGTTTGGAAGAACTCAAAATTCTCGTTCTCCCAAACTTCACTTGTGTTACCATAACTCTATGGAAACACAGAAAACGTTTTCTATTTCATTTGGTATATCCAACACAATTAATATATAATATTGAATGAAAATGTTTGGTCACTTTGCCAGGGCTAGCTTTAGGGGATGACAATTTGATGTCATGACATCATATCATACTGTACAAGGGAGAAATAGTGTATTGGAAACTTGGCTTACCACAATCCCTCGCTTTTCAGATATTTAATTTGCTTGCCATACAGAATATGAACTATCTCAGCACACACTTTGTTTCCTTCTTCTATGGGATCCACAATAACAAAATCTCCTGGAAAGAGTTGAAATTTAAAAAAAACTCTACTAATTAATTAGGACTTGCTTACATGTAGTTTCAACAAGTTACATGTAAACTGTTTCATAGATTGTTATGTTACAGTGAAACCCTGCCTTACGACCACCTCGTTAATATGACCACTTTGTTTTGTCCTGAACTGAAGTTCTCTCAGTCATTCTCTTATTTAAGAACCCTGTTAATATGACCACCCTGTTAATACGACCAGATTTTGTTGGCCCGTTGGTGGTCGGATTAACAGGATTCCACTGTACTTCAATTTGATAGGGAAACCATAAATAATGAAGGGCCTGGTGGAAAAAGGGTGGTTAGACAATATAATAATAATATGCCATTTTTCCACCAGGCCATTCATTATTGTTACATGTACATCTGAAGTCTTTGTCTTATTAAAAAGTCTGTGTTACCATACCATACTACTTGAGCTTGGCCCATACCTCTTTTAATCCACACACTTTTTCCTGAATTTTGATGGCATACTGACAAGAAACTTTGTGCCATCAGAAGTTTCCACCTCATGAAGGTTGTTTCCACGACTACCTAAAATCTATATCATGGGAAGCAGAAGATCAGTTCTAAGTTAGTTTATTCGCAAAACAAGAAAGAACACATTCAAGTAAAATGAGTTCACAAAGACCGATCATCAATGGTTAATGGCATATGGTTTACATTAGGCCACAGCATGCCTACAACTGGTGCTACCAATTTATCCCACCCCAGGAAGAACCCAGATATACAGTACCACCAACAAGTACTGCCAGCATGCACTGATTGCAGAGTTGGAGTCAAACTAATGACTTGTGGGCATTCTGGTGATAAAGATCTGAGGTACATGTACAGTACCGGTCAAATGTAAGTTGAAAGTCACTCGAAACTCGATCCTCGATCCTCGATTCTCGATCCTAGAAACTCGAAAACTTCAAGTATTGATTTTAGAGGATCGAGGATCAAGGATCGAGTTTCGAGTCGAGTGCTTCGAGTTTCGAGTCGAGAAAACAAAGAGCTTATAACGCCCGATTAAGTTTTCACACGACCAGGGAAAAACGCCGCACTTCTACGTACCGCTTTGACATCACGCTCCAGTTGGAAAATAAAGTTATTGTTGAAGTTCGCCACGCTCGCAAACAAACTTTGGCCACTTAGTTCTTCGGTGTGTCATACCACAGGGAAAATGAGCCAATGCTCCTCCCTGACTGAAGACCAGACTTGAGGAGGGGGACATTTGGGTTTTCGGTAGTGCGGTTCTGAGCCATTTTTCTTACAGTTTTTACGGTATTTTCGATCGAAAACTGCGGTATTGCGGTTTCATCCAGTACGAAGGTTCACGGTTTTTCAAGCATTTTGAGCAGCAGTGTTCGGTAAAAATTCTAATTTTGTACTGTATTTCGATGAGGGAAGTTTCCTTGTAGCGTTAGTAAGAGAGGGAGTTTTTCTTGAGTTTCAGTGGGGTTTCCGGATATTTGAGGATGAAATTTTACGGTTTTGGAGACTCCCCAATGTCCCCCTCCTTGAGAGAGCAGGCTCCCAGTGTCATCACTCTTGCCCTACTCCCCCCTCCACACAGGAGGGCCATCTACGCCAAGTGGGGGTCCAAGATCTATCCTTGCCTTGCTTACACGCCGGTATATGCTACGATTGCACGCCGCACGCTTTGGAAGCCCCGAAGATCTTCGGCGGGACACCAAATATTGAACGACATGCAATTTCATCACGCACGATGGCAAGGAGAGCTATTACAATCCGTGACTTTCCTACCTTAACAATCTGCTGGTTTGGGTCTGGGACCACATAATCATCCAGCACTTCTTTGGCAACGTGTTTTCTCTTCGTTGCTTTCGACATGATCTTGAACAACAAGATCGGTGTTTGGCGCGGCGATCTCTGGACTATGTGCCGTACAAAATGGGCGAAAACGCCCGCTACTCAATACTTGTTCATAATCAAAGAGCCATGGTGACTATTTTCTATTCTTTCACAAGTAAATTTAAAAAGTTCTTCGCTGGAGATTTAGTGCACATGTAACCACATTGGACGCCATTTTGTTTGGTACTAGTTCCCATGGCTCGCTCGGTCATATAAAAAGACAGGACTCTGGGTAAACTCTTTGGCAGGTACGGAGAGCGTGCAGAGAGGTGGTTGTTCGGATAGCTTGCTCACAGGCTAGATTCTTTTCGGAAATTTCAAACGATAAATTTACGCTAGACTCTTTAGATATCTAGTTTACGGTATACCGATTAATATTTGTAACAGAAGTTTTATAGGGCCCATATATTAGGTAACCAGTCGCAAAAAGTTATGTTGACTGCCGTTCCGATATCACCCAAGTCTCTTATCTTATAAAAAGTTGAAAAAAGTTTTTAACTTTGTATTATTAAGCGTTGTTTTTAAATTATTTTTGGTGGGAGTTCACTGATCTACTGACCGAAGCAATATACATAATGCTTATAGCTTCAACTAGTACGGATACTCTACTCATTCTCGTCCCCACAGCCCTTAATTTTTTTCGTCTCGGGCAAAAAATGGCGGAACATTTTCGTCTTTTTCTATTTTTTTCGGAGAAATTCGACATTTTACCTAAAATTTTTATTCATTCCTATCACGAGTGTATAAACTCACAATTGACCTGCTCCCAGCGTGTGGCTTCATAGCTCAGTTGGTAGAGCAACGCACTAGTAATGCGGAGGTCATGGGTTCAAATCCCGTTGACGAGTAAAATGCCCAGCCGTATTACACAATTTTCCGCTGAATAAATTGTTTATTATACGACATAATTCTTTCCTAAAATCTAGGCTTTCAACAGTGTTTTCCGTAGCGCGCGGTCAGGGGGACTAAGACGAGTGTAACACGGTCTCATATTTGCACTCGTTTTGGTGCGTATTCGCACTCTAAAATGCTATGTCGTATATAATAATTAACAATTATCCTGCTAAATCTTGCGGATTATCGCCTGATTTTAACCAACTCGGCCTACGGCCGATTGTCTGAATTTTAGAAAAGGACCCAAAAAGGTACCAGAATCTCGTTTTGTGGGCGTGGCTCGAATAATTTTCACTCCTAGTCCTAAGAAGTACCAATTGTAAGACAAAACTTGTTCTTATCATATTTTTTCCGGCCTAATACCCCAAAAGGTACTGGAATAACTCTAACGGTAGTCATTTTAGATTTTAACACCCCTAAGCCATTAAGCGGTACCAAAGCACGAATGTTAACCCCTAAAATGTACGACGATCACCCCCGTCACTTTTATATCGAGTTCGAAGTTCCCCCACCCCACCCCGGATCCCTCCGTCCCATCGGCTAGCCTGTTCACTAGATGACTCCAAGCAGACGCCCTCTTTTCCTTAACTTACCAGCTCGATTTTTACGTCGTTATTATCTGAAGCCGTAATGATAGCCAAATGGAAGAGACTGCTCGAAGTCTGCCTGTTTGTTATTTTAATTTACTTTGGCAGTCTGAATAACCATAGCAACCTGCGTGTGCCCTCAGTGATCCCGTAACCCGTGCACTTCGAAAAGCAGTATATGCTTCATGTACGACACCATAAAAAATCTTCAGTGGACGTTTTAGGCCTCATTTCAGTTTTTTCAACAGGAAAATGATCACGTAACAGGAACCTCCTATAACCTGATCATTTGCCGCTTTGCAAATGTGTGAAACATGTTGTGCATTCTCCACAAACTAATTACCTTGTGCATTCAAGAAAAGCCAAAAGAAAACAAACAGAAAAAATTATAAGAAAGAAATTTAAATTTTTCACCTTTCTCAAAAAGCAAGATAATTGCGTTTAGTGTATCTGGCCCGCAGCCGAATTTTTCGCCAGTTTGTAATTCATGAAACGATTCATTTCAAGAAGCGTTTCTCGACTTCTTCTTGCCATGAAATAATAAATAAGCACAGTAATACAGTAAAAAATATATTATTTTTCGTCTACATTATTTAAAATTATTTTATAAATTATTTGGCACGATTATTGATGTTAATCTTGAGACAAATAAACACATACAATTCGTAGCGTCTTTCTCGCAAAAAGAAGTAAAAACATTAACATAATTCCCCGCCATTTTCACACCTCGAGTTGATTGCTTAGTTCCATAATTATAACTTCCATGATGAGACACCAAGTCGAAGAATATTTTTTTTAAAGCGTAAGTACGGTAGTTCAGACGTCGTGTCACTGATTCGTCGACCACTTTGGATCGCATGACTGATTTAGTGAAATTATCAAGACAAAGTACGACACTTGTTGCGAACGTACAGCTGATATAAATAACATTTTGCCGACTTCATGACAAGGCAAATAATCCTCTTCTTTTCATTAAAGTAGAGCAGGACTACATTGTGAAAAAGATTAAGAGATTCAGGCGGCAAAGTTAGATAATGGCAGCTTCTAATTCTACAAATACGCCGACTGGAAGCGAAGCGGAGTCTACACAAGAAGGTTCTGCAGGCGTTCTACTGGCATCATGTGTGGAGATCATTTTATGTCTGCTTGGAACTCTAGGAAACTCTTTGACAATCGCCGTAGTCTGCAGGAAACAAATCACTCCAATTGTTTCCAACTTTCTCATAGCGTCTCTCGCCTTTGCGGATTTGTTGGTGAGCGCCATCCTGGTTCCAATGCGAGCATCGCAGCATATGGCCCAGTTTCACGGTACAAACGTCCCGCAGGCCGTGGTTGAAATCGCTGGCTTTGTGGGGAGAGTGAACATTATAGCATCCATTTCCAGTCTAGCTGCGATGAGTATTGATCGCTACATCGCCTTGTCTCACCCGATGTTTTATCTGTCGTCGGTGAAGTTTGCAAAAGGGCAAGTTTCTTTAGTAATCGGACTGATCTGGGCTGTGTCTATATTGTGACCTGCGTACCAAAATTTCCTGGTGTAAGCGACAAACCATTCCTCGTGTTCTTTGTAGCGTTCGTCCTGCTCGTGACGTTGATAATCGAAGCAACGTACTACAGGATTTTCAAGATCGTCCGCAAGTCCATCACCAGACAACGAGCAAGCAGTAGATTTGCGAGCAAAGTCGTGCGTCTTTCACTAGTGACTTCCACGTTAGATTCCAGACTTATTCGCTACGTTGATGGAAGACAAACAGACAGGCAGGCTTATGGCGAGAAAGGGAACGTAAAGCAGCCAACACGATTGCATTTGTGATCGGAGCGTTCGTTCTTTTGGTGTACCCTCGCATTGTTTTAATCCTGTACCATTTCGCCGCACCCCAAACAGCCCAGAGCCAACACGCGCGCTTTTGGATTCGAATTTTATTGTACAGTAACTCTGTAGTAAATCCCGGTTTATACGCATGGAGACACAAAGAATTCAAACGAGAATTCAGGAAGATTTTTCTCAAATGCTGGCGATTTTTGTCGTGTCAAAAATGGAAATATTTGAAAAAGTCCTCGTCGAATAAGACGTACTCCTCATCCACGCTTCCACGAAATGGCCAGGAATTGGCGGAGGATGAGGGAGACAGAGAACGAAAAAACCTCCCCAAGCAAGATACCTGCTTGTAATTTTTTGTTGTAAAAAATGACGGAGGATGCTTTTTCAGCTGTCTTGACTGACAGCAAAAATGTACAATTATTTGTTAAGAAAACAATTGAGACTGGGCAGGGTGATTGAACTATTCTAAATTTATCGGCTGTGTAAATTGAAAATTCTCAGTGTCGTGTACATGCATCTTTTAGGACGCACGCTTTTATTTTACGACAAATGTAATTTTGTCGGGTCATCTGGACGTTTTAACTGATTACCAAAAAAGATTGGCAAAGGACACCTTATCCTGTTTTGCAAATATTTCATGCTCATGCCATTATCTCATTTTTAAAAACTGGTGTTGTTCATTTGAATATTTTAAGAGCCGGAGCTTGCTTTTCGCACCTTGCAGTTTACCATTACCAAATGGGTTTTGTGTGGGCCGTTATAAGCTTTAAAAAAAACAAACACGCAAAAAAACAATATCTATTTCTAAAGAACCTAAAATTGTATCCAAAAATGCGGTCTTTGGAAGGCAGAGACGTAAAAAGAGCGTATTTTGCGCACTCTTAAAAAAAAAAAACTTCTGCATCTTGGTGAAATAAATTAATTTTCAAAGCTTGTTTTACTCCTGTTTTCCCCGCCAAAGTATTGACTTTTAATTTTAAATATGACAACGTTTCGAGGCGGCATTTCAAGACACTGATCTACGCGCTACGGTCGGTTTCGCTTCCTCGCACCACATTAAAGGAGCTACGTCACGGTTGGTCCATCTTGAAAAAAATTGGGCCAATTTTTTCAAGTTCGCAATCCGTCTTAATCTTCTCGATACACGCTTACGCCCTAAGCATGAAAGCGAGGCCTAAGGGCCACAAGATTCCCCGGGAACTTTAAAAGAGTAGAAACATAGCTGAAGAAACAACAATGAGCGATTTAGAGGGCTGTAAAATTAACCACGGAAGATATTCCTGGAGCATTTATAGAAAATAAAAGCGAAGTTTTGGCTGAAATGAAAACGACTGGATTTTCCTAAATTCTTGATGAAAAGGCCAACGACGTTCTTTTCTTCAATAACAACTTTCAGGGTTAATTTTACAGCCTCTAAATCACTCGATGTGTTTTTCAGCTATCCTTTAGTTCACGGGAAATCCTGTGGCCCTTAGGCCTCGCTTTCATGCTTAGGGCGTATTATATAAAGCGTGTATCCTCAACCATCCAAAATAATAATACACTTACTCCATTCTGATTGCAAAAAAGTGTAACACCAGTGCAAATTACAAACGAACGAAGATTTCCGAAGTCAGTACGAAGAACCACGAAGACCCCTAACGGCTGCCGACGGTCATACGAGGCTATACCGAAGATATCCGAAGATCACCCGATAACGTCCGAAGATTTCCCGAAGTCTTCCGAACTTCATCTGAAGACTTTCCGAAGAATTCTGAAGATTTTACAACTCTATCGGAAGGTTTGCAAATACTTTCGGAAATTTTACGAAGGGTAGTGCCCTCTGTAGTGTAATATTTGTAAACGCGCCCGAGTGCATTGTTGAGTTATGATAACTGAGCACGCGGGAATTTTTAAGAACGCGAGAGAAGTTCTTAGAGAAGCACGAGGCGTAGCCGAGTGTTTCTCGCACTTCTTCGTTCTTAACGAATTCCGGTACAAATCTTTCGGTTTGGTAGTTACCTGTCAAATATGCAAATTTAAAGGAGCTACGTCACGGATGGAATATTTTGAGGCTTTCGTCAATTTGAAAGCGATTTTGCACTTCGCAAAAATGGCTTTAAATATCGTGACATAGCTCTTTTTTATCAAATCGCTTAAATTTCCTCTTTGTTTTCCAGATTTATTATCACCTCTCTCACGGGGATGGAAAGAGATATTTTGCCATTAATCAAATCAACATTCGAGTATTGTCAGTATTGGATCGAGTCTTGTTTTGAATTTTCTATTCTTCATTTGATTATTGGATTTATATTGAAACTGAATAATGAAATCAAATTTGCAATAATGAATTCAAGGAACGCTTGCATGAGCTGAGATGGTGTGGCTTTTGTTTTCCAGCTGCAACACGCAACAACACGCATAATTTCGAAGAACGCCACACGAAGAAACAGTCCCAGGTCACCTTGCGCGATCTACAAGGAAGTAAAACCATATTTCCCTGTGGAATTTCTTATTCGTGAAATAAAGTTTTTAAAATATATATAGTTGTCCAAATCTAATCAAGATTCGTGAAT